GTGAGTTTGTGTGAGTGGCCCATCATACTCACCTATGTTTCTTCAGCTCCAACGCCGAGCCGGGCGCTGAGCTTTGCAATTTAGACCCCAAGCTTCGGGCCGTCTCGTCCGCAAAACCGTTGGCGGATCCGAACCCTAGCTCCTCTTCGTTGCCAACAAAGGGGTCTAAACACGCCGGAAAGAAGAGCCTATGAGGCCCAAGACGCCCGCAGGGCCAAAGTTGCACACCTCCGTCAGGAAGGCCACAAAATCCAAACTATTATCATTTATTTGAACCATTTGGATACATTCATTAGATGGAAGTGATCTCGGACAAGCGTGGTGGGCTTGCAAGGCATCACAGGAACGGCTGGTTCTGAGTTTGGCTCATCTGCGCACTGTGCTCAAACCAGGAGGAGCCTCTAGGGCTGGTGAATCCTGATCTTTGCCATTGCCGTTGACCGAAGTATTCAACAGGCTTGACATACAAAACATGCAGAGTCAGGTCCAAGGGGATCTTCCGTAACTCAAGAGAACACAGCGTTGGGTGGGACTTTTCACGGGTCCCGGCCCCCTTTGGTGGAGATATGTTGTTGTTTGGTCCACCAACCACTTTTGATTGGCCCAAGTGGGTTAACTTGCTTCTGACTTTGACTCCCAGAGTTCCTGGGGACTTCAGCCAGGTTTTGGGAAGACTAGTTGTTGGCTGTGGCTCGAAAATTGGTCCCCATGTTGGGACTGGAAAATGAAGCCAAAGACGAAAAACCTGCAATCTCTTGGTTTGATTTCGACCCAAAAACCCTTTGGCAGTGGCTCAAAATTAAAGAGCTAGGGTTACGCAGGTTCTGGTCCATGTTTCCACTTACCACTGTTCCATTTTGTACCCTTTGGAGCAAGGCCAAATGACCGTCCCGGCTTGAGGTCTCGCTTGGCGGCCCGAGCTCAGCTTCTGCACGCTCTTGATGAGCTCCTAGGCCCGAAGGACCGATGGGCGGTTTCAAAAAAACGTCCGAGGCCGACTTTTCTCAGAGGGAAAAGGGTTTTGCAAAGGGCTTGCTGGGGTTGGCCTATGGTTTCGGGTGGGGTTATTTAGAGTTGGTTTAGAGTTGGTTTAGCGGTAGGTGAGGATGGGTTGCTTAAGGTTGGAGGGATTGTTTCGTGGGCTTACGGTGGGTTTAGGCTGGTTAGACTTGGCTTGAGGGTTTCGTGTGGGTTTAATGTGGGTTTAGGGACAGCTTGGGTTAATTTCGTGTGGGTTAAGGTTGGCTTGCGTTGGCTTAGGGCGGGTTTGGTTGCTTTAGGGTGAGTTAATTTAGGGTCTGGGTTTAGGGTGGGCTCAGGCTGGTTGAGGGAAACTGTTGTGCTGGTCTAAAGCTTAAGGTTGGTATAGGGTTTGCTTAGGGTTTGTTTAGGGTTGATTTTGAGGTGGGTTAAAGCTGGTTCAGGGTGTCGGGTTTCGGATTGGTTGGGTTGGCCGAGGGGGTAGGCTTGGGATTGCTTCAGGATTTGGTTCGGGTTTGCTTAGGGTTGATTTAGGTTTGGACAAGGGTGGGTTTAGGTTGGTTCAGGGTTTGTTTAGGGGTAGTTTCGGGTTGCTTCGGGTTGGTTCGGGTTGGTTGAGGGATACTTTAGTGCTAGTTTATTTTGGGTTTAGCGTGGGTCTAGGGTTGGGAAAGGATTTCCTGACGTGGTGTTTTTTTAGTGCTGGTTGTGGGTTGGGGGGGAGAGGGGGGTTGGTTGGCTTAGGCTGGCCAAGTAATTCGTAAGTGCTGGTTTACTGTGGATTTGGGGTTGGTTTCGGGTGGGTTTAAAGGTTGGAAGAGGGTTTGCTTAGGGTTTGCTTAGGGCTAGCTGAGGATCTTTCCTTAGTCATATTGGTCTGTCTTCTAGGTCCTCCAGTAGCGAGGTTAGAATAAGGGTACCCTTTTTTCTGTTGTCTATTTTAGTAGGGGAACCCTCCCCCCAAAAAATGTAAAAGGGCACTACTGGGGGACCAAGGTCTTGTGTTGAGGGTACGCTGTTGGGGGTCATTGTCAAACGTTCAAACCGGCCATTTTGGAGGCGTCCCTGTTCTGAGACACACCAATATTTCCAGCGGTAACGTCCCCATTCTTTCCAGGGATCCGCATCTTTCTAGAAAACCACCAAAAACCCTGGGGAAATGGCGATCGGTGTTCGAAAAGAACTATGGCTGAAAAGAATGGGGAATCAAAAAAAGAATCAAACATCGCCGCACATGCCACCACGAGCTCCAGGCGTTGTTGACATCCATATGGGGAGTGATGTCCAATCAGTTTGGAGGGTCACCCTCCCAAAGCCAATATGGCTGTGGCTCAACAAACCGGTACCAAAATGGAACCCTGGTAAGTGGAACCGAAGACTAAAACCCGCGTAACCCCAGCTCTTCAATTTTGAGCCATACCCATATGTTCTAGAGACTTAGCGCCCCTCTGAAATTCATGGCTATTTACAGGGGCCACTGGATTTCCCCGAATCAGCTGCCAGAGTTCTTGGTCCTGCTTCCAATGAAACCCGCGAAAAAACTTGAGCAAGGGAGGTGTTGAGCCAAACGGTGACCCTTGGGATCCCCATATTTTCAGGGGCAACGCGACCTGTGTTTCCTTCACCGAAACAGGTCCGGACGTGAATTTCAGAGACAACTCGGAGTTCGGCCGCTTCTTCTCAAGTTGATGCCTCGAAAAAAACGAAACGGGTCCAAGAGTGAATTCCGGAGAAAGCTCGGAGTTTGGCCGCCGAGAATTGTCTCAAGATGCCCGGGCTGACTTTTTGAGCGCTCCTGCTCCTTCTCCTCCCTGGCGATCCGCTGGGCGCCTGGGGGAAAAAAAGAAAGAAAGCGCAGGGCCATGACACCATGACCCCAAGGCGGAGCCCCGGAGTCTTCCATGGAAAACCCATGGACCCCTGAAGGGACCTCAGAAACGGGGGGCCATTTTAGGGGGCCCAAAGGAAAAAGACATCCTTGGGCGGATTGTGCCCAATCCTCTCTCTGGGAAACCGAGCATCGGATGACCTCCATTTCCCTTTGTGTCCCCTGGGTGTGGCTCAAAATTAAACAGGAGGGGCAAACCGCAGGTTTTGGTCCATGTTTCCACTTACAAGGGCAACCCATTTTGGCACCGGTTTTTTGAGCCACAGCCATATGTTTGTTCAGTAGTCGATGTCCTGACGGGATCACATGCGCCCAGGATTTCTTGCAAAGTCAGCCAATGAGACAGTTGCAACCAGCTTCTACAATGAGGCAGTAAGCCCTGGTACTTGTGGGCGCTAGTTGAAACGTACTGGAACCATTTATTTGGACGGACCCTTCACACCCACTGGTGCTTGTCCACGCGAAAAAAGGTGGAGACAACATGAGCGTCTGCCAGGGAACTTGGGCTCTGGTTGAGCTTTCGGCCTTCCTTTCGCGGCCTCCCTTTCAATCCCGGGAAAGGGGCTTCGCTATTTGAGGATGTTTTCGTGTTGAAAAAGTGGCCCCTTGCCTGCTCCCTTCGCCTTTCGCTCAACTGCGTGTCTCTTCAACCAGGATTTCCTTGGTATCAGAGAAAGTGACCCTAAAAACCCCTTTTTACACAAACATCAGAAATTGTTGCAGTCATTCCAAAGCCTGAAATGAGGACTGCATCTCTAATCTCGTTTTACCTCCCAGAGCTTGCAATACTCTTCACCGGAACGGACATTGTGAGCGGGGGTCAATTCGTCAAAAGGTGATAAGCCACGATACTCGAAGTGGGTCATAGGCAACCCGAGTACAAAAGAACATACCAATTCACGGCCTTCACGCGCGCTTGGACATGAGCCCTGACCCCTGGTGCTCTTTTCATTCGGCTTCAGTTCGTATTTTGCACATCTACTCCTGGCCCCCAGAAACCCAAGAAACCCAGCGAGAAGCCGATCTCCCTCGGCCTTCCACAAACACCCCGGTCACCAGGTTCAGCATCACCAACGTGGCAAAGGCGATGTACATGGAGAACACCAACTCGCGCGGATGCGGAAAAAGCCAACGAGGCTCAAAAACGGGTGCGCAGGGGGAAGGGGTGATTTTCAAGGTGCTTTGGCTACTCTGGCTCTTGGTGGGTATGAGTTTTACGTGGGGGGTGTCAGATCTTTCGGAGATGGGTCGTGCAGAATTGCATATGTTCTTGCTTGAGGGGGGGGGGGGGAGGAAGGAGGGGCGGGCAAAAGGAAACGCGCAGCTACCGCGTCCCTAACCAGGGACGCCGATCGGTTGCTCCGAAAGGCTCCCTCATTAAAAACAAATTTGGATAGCTCTGAAAGGCTCCTTTTGAACCACCAGCTCGGCTGACAACCATCAGCAGACAAAGAGGTGGTGCCACTCGTTGACCTTTTGGAAAAGGCTCTGGTACATGAAATCAAGCTCATCTAAACCAGTGGAACCCATCTATGTCTAACGTATGGACACAACCTGTTGCAGCTAAGGCCGTGCAAGAAGCAACACAAGGACCAGAAAATCGTTGTTTCAAAGCAGAACAAAAAAGGAGACACTTTTCTTGGCCAAAAACCTTTGGTCCACGTCCGGGCTCTCGACAAACTCTGCCCGGCCAACCCGAAACCCTCAAACTCGACGGCCAAAAAAACAAACGTTGCCCAGACCGGAAAAGAAAAAGAAGAAGAAGAAGAAAAGAAAAAACAAAAAAAGAAAAAAACAACGAGGTGGGGGGAGGTTCCCACCCCAAACCGCCAAAAAAAGATCCGCCGGAGCGAGCCCATGACCCCAAGACCCCAAGCCCCGCCGCGAGCAGCTCGTAGGGCTCCTGGGAGAAGTCCCGGGATTTCCAGCAAATTTCCCGATTGCCACCTTGGGACCTTCCAAGGGGAAACGCCTCGGAAACCCTGTTGGGTCCAATGGAAAAGCGATGCTTGAAAGCAAAAGGTGCAGAAAAAGGGGGCGGCTTGGTCACAAAGACCTTCTTCTGTACCACGGTGGACCATGAGTTTGTGTCACTGAAGGGCTCCCCTTTGACAACCGAAAACACCAACGGTCCACCATGTGCTGGATTTGTTCTCGGGTTGGAGTTCCCTTGGTGTTCCTTTTGTTTTTGTGGCCCTTGTTCCCTTGCTATTTTCTTGGTTATCCAGAAAGTGGCAACCTAACACCCCCCCCCCGAGTGTTCCACCACTGGATCTGTTCTCGGGTGTTAGGACCGAACCAGAACTGGCGAGTGAATCGAAACCTCCCACTGTGCAACCCTTTGCTCGTTAACTGGGATTCACGGTCATCCCCTCGTTTGCTCGATCCGCTCCGTCCCAGCCAGAGGAGGACAACAAACAACATTGTTTCCATGAGAAAGAGGGTTATCTATCCAGCCATGAGTACGAAAAAAAATGAGAAGAGAAAAAAACGAAAGACCCCAACATGGCCGCTTCGGAGGCCCTCTTCTTCCCCGAGACACCAGGAAACAAATCTCCAGGAAGATCGCCCAAGTCGAATCTCCTGGAGAAGTACTGGACATGGGTTTTTGAGACTTTGGGTTTTCCTTTCGGCTTCCCCTTTAACCACAAAAGAGTGGTTGGAGGTCCCCTTTTGGGTTTCCCTAAAGCAAAAAATCGGACCGGTCTCCTTTTGGCTTCCTTTTTCTTTAGACTGGTCTCCTTTGGTATCCCCCCAAAAAAGAGCAGACTGGTCTCCTTTTGGCTTCCTATTTAAAAAATAACGTGGGGCACCTACCTGCAAGACCTGTGCAAGGATACCTGGAAGAAAACAAGATCCTCTTGGAACCCCCCAAAACGTCAACCGCGCCCTGGCAACGTGGGAGAGCGGTTAAAACCAATACACCACGACCAACCCACCAGAAACTCGGATCCAGCCTGGGAGTTGCCCTCGAAGACCTCGATGGCCACTCGCCAGTCCTCAGTGTCGTGCCGCGAGTCGTGCGAGAGTCCGACTCGCGGCACCCCTGCTCGCAGGATGGGGCGCAAACAGGCCGGAGCCCGGTGCAATGGTGTAAATGGTTTCAGGTTTGTTTGGCTATGCTGCTTTGAGTGCCCATGGCCTTTTTTGGATGAGAAATGGATGGGCTTCCCTTGGTCAATGGCTGAAAAATCTCCAGCCAAACCGGTGGAACCCATCCATCTCTAAACCAAACCAACCCCAAATCAGCCAGCCCATGTTCATGCGCCTTGAGGAGAGAATGAGATGGGCACCAGGGAGGACCTTTGGGGGGGGGGGGGGAATCATAGACTTCATCTCGAAGGCAACTCTCAAGGACATCACAAAATATAAGAGAACATACTGAGCTCATTGAGCTGCGGCAGGAACCTCCAAGATACCATCAGAGGTCAGAAAGGCTTCGCTGGGAAAGTGTCTTAAGCGGTGATGGAAGGCTTCGAGCTGGAGCTCGGGGAGGGCGTTTCATCGCAGAGAAGCATCGGGAGCCCCAGAAATGGGAGCGCCCCTTCGCTTTCCCCTTGGACCAACCTAGAGACCAATGACAGAAATACTGAAATACGTGATGGCCATGAACTCGCCAATTCTCGACTGGAAAGCGAGTCGAAAAAGTGGCCATCACCTTCTCTTCTCGCTTCGCTCATGATATGTGGACTAAAGAAATGGACATGGCCAAGCGAAGCGCATAGAAAATCCGGCTTTCCCCGTTGCCTGCAGTGGCAAAGGAAACTGTTCAAGGCAGAAGACGCAATGCCTAAGACAACCATTGCCGCCGCTGTGCCGAGCATGCCTGCAACTGAGACCCTTCACGATAGCACAAGTGTACCAACCCACCTTGAGCTGCTTTCCTTGCATGGTAGTCTATGGGTCGGGAACGTCTCAAATGGCCCTTTTTGGTGGCTTTCCCGTTGCACCATTTCACACCTCCCGTCGCGCGTTTCTCGGAAATACACCCGCGCGTGTAGCTCCACCAGTACCAAAATGAGACTCGGTGGATGGCTGCGACATCCATCTCGCACCACTTTGAAACCAGCGGAAGCCAGAACGTCCCTTGGCATTTTTTTACGTCGGGGGGGGAGTCAGAAAAATCATCCCCATTGGGCTTCTGAACGGTGCGTTGCATGGACTTCGCTTTCAACCATCCACAGCACATGAGCAAGTGGGAGAAGGAGAAAAAAAAAGAGAAAGCTGCATGGCAAATGCCAAGCTCGCGGAGGTTTTGGAAGGTCATTCTTTCGCTCTGAGGGGATGAATCATTTTTCGCGTGACTGGGCCGTCCGCTTTATCCGAGCCGCTGCCAAAAGCTTAGCCTGTGGGCAAGTTTTTCGGAAACCCAACCGCCAAACACTACAAACATAGGTGGCCTTTTGGAAAAATAGATGGCCCTGGTCAATGGAACAAAACCCATCTAAACCAGTGCCATCTATATTTAACCAAACTAACCTAAAAAGGACGCCTATGACTACAAACCTAAAAGCTCAGGAACCGGACGGCTGGGAGCCGAGGGAGAGTCTGTTGTTGGTCCTTTTGAAGCCCATGACTCTGGCCACACCTGCAACTTGATCTGAGCCTGGTGCCATTCCACCAGTGATTGCCTGGCCAAACGGCGAGTCCCTAGCCCTCCAAAAGTGATGAACCCCCACTTAAAGAGGACCCCCCGGATCAAAATCAACCAGGGCTTTGTTTGTTCCATTAATTTTTACATGGCTGCGTCGAGGGAAGGAGTCGGTTGTGATGTGGCCGCAAAATTGGGGGGGCACCCGTGTTGGCTGTTGCTGACATGGCCATCGTAATTCCAGTGAACATCCCAACCCCACTAAAATAGACCAAAATGAGTGGTGCACCCACCCCAAAATGGTTCCGTTGGTTTTTATAGATTCAAGGGTTACCGGTTTGGGGCCCAAAAGGAAACAACAAACCGTCCAAGTGCGCTGCTCGCACATTTTCACGCTTGAACAGCCACACTGCGGATGCAATGGATGTAAAACCCATACTAACCGATCAAATTCTTCACCCCCCTCTGCGTGTTAAAGGGGCCTTTCACAAAGCAGCCAAACAGTAACACAACAGAGGGAGAAGGTCAGGGGAACCATTGACACATGCAAACCATGACAGTTGCGCTTTTAGCGCCACTGCCACGTAGAGTAGTTTCCGCTACTGTTGTCCCATCCGCTCCATCCGGACCAATTCTGCCAGCTGCCTTGGCTCCAATGCTCACCCTCGCGGGCGGCGGGAGCACGTGTGTCGGCATAGCGAGCGGCGTTGCGAGCGAGGTGCTTGCTGCTCTCGTTCCTCGAAAATTCAATCGAGTTACGAGCATAACGCTCATTCTGGCTGAAAATCCAGTCCATCTCGTTGCGGAGGTCCTCCAACGTGTTGCTTCGCAAATGGATGATGCCATTCCAACAACCGATGCTGCGAGGCTTGTCTTGTTCAAAGACCACGTTGATAAAAGCCCTTGGGCTATAAGGCATCCCTTGGAACATAATGATCCAGCGAGAGGTAAGCGCATCTTGGAGTTCGTTGGGCAAGAACTCCAACTCCGTCTTGATATACGCGAGCCTTGCGATTCGCGACTCCGAGGTTGATCCAAGGCCAACTCCCAGAGTGCGCTGGGCTTGCGACTGCTTTGGAGCAGCCAAGACGAGATTTGCACTCAACTCCATGCGGAGCATGTCCGCCTCCCGACGGCCCACCTCAAGCATACGAACCCTGTATTGAAGGTCGAGTTCATAGCGATCTAGCAGAGAGTGGTAGCCGTTCTTCAGAGCGGACTTGTGCTTCTTCCGGGCCTCCTGAATAACAGCACTGTCCGGGGAGTTCAAGCCACGAATGATGCTGCTACGATCCTCCTCGCGGAGGTCAAAAGTTCCCACGGATGCCAGAACCTGGGCTGTGACATGGGTGCTGAGGCCCATCTTCTTCAGCAAATTGGAACGCTGCACAATGTAATTCCTCTGCTGCTCTTTCAGCAGCCGAGGATTGAGGGGAGACAACTGCCCACATGACGAGCAGTGGACCTGCCCCTCGAACACACTGTTGTTGCAGACCGGGCACGTGGCGACATTCAGCTCAACGTTCTCCATTGGGTTGAAAGTCTTCTGTCTCTTCGCTTCCCCTTGCGGGGCGCGAGGAGACGCCACATTGGTGCGGGTTGTAGCAATACGTTCCAGCGCTGTAGATCGATCATCAACCACGGCTTGGTCGCGCTTCATCCCCTGCGATTCATCCTCATTCGCCTCAGCTGGTGCACCTGCATCCGATTGCTCGGAGCGAGTGTACCATACATCGCCATTTGTAGCGTCCAATACAGAAATAATCGTGTAGTTGGGCACCTTGTCGCGCGTGAGGACACCATCGCTCTCTGTCTTGAAAAAGCAAAGCCCTGCGCGAATGGCCATCCTGAGGTCGATCTGTATCTCCAAGGGCTTGTTAGCACGTACACCTGAGATGTAATTTTCATTCGTGCTCGGAATGTCAGCGAAGAAAACGTGAGGTCTGCCTGTCTCGTGCTGGTCCCCTCCTCCTGGAAGCAGTCCGTTTCGCATTATGCTGGCGAAGTTCCGCTTATCGGTGCGATGATAGAGCACCGTAGGAGGGTTGCTGCAGACGTTCCAGCCAGACCAGCGCCCGAGGTCAGTTTTTGGGTTCACGTACCACTCCTTCGCGATGCCGGAGTCGTCGATTTGGAGCCAGTCCTCATGTCCTTGAGAGGCCTTTATCTTGAAAAGCCAATGCGAACATGGGACGTCTCCGCACCGGCCTGCGTCCGGGCAACCAAGCGCAATGAACCTCTGCTTTTTGTCCAGCTTGAAGATGTCCATGATATTCTGAATATTCCATGGAATGGGATGTCGCAGCTCCTTGCGAAGCGCGAGTCCCAGGTCTTCGAGGTCCATGTAGCCGTCCTCATCCATCACGTACCCGCATCCTTCTGTTCCACGACCACGGAGGATCTTGGAGATGCACGTCAGGGAACTGTGGTACTCATTTGCTGATTCTCCTGACAGAGGGGTCGTAATCAAAAGAGGGCTGCTTGATGATGTCGAGTCTCTTGGGGCCCTCACCGTAGTCGACATACTTCACGCCGCCATGAATGCTATACACCCAGCAGTCGTAATGGCCTCCAGTCACGTTCCTCCCGTAGGAGTCGAGTGGTACCGGTCTGCTTGCCGCCTCGTCCCTCTGTGCCACCGCAGCCGCCTTTGCACCGGCTTGCGCCGGGCGAACACTCTCGGAAACATCTGCACCGGAAGGCTCACCTGAAGTTGCAAACTCGGCTGGGTTGACGGGGGCGAAATCGAGGGGCTGCCGGACCTCCACTTCTTCACGGGTGAAAGGGAGCCCAATCATCTCTGACAAGGAAACACCGCACTTCGTTAGCGTTTCCTTGCAGTACGCGAGAACCTCAACGTTGACTGTGCAATCCTCTTGGTGGCGCACCTCGAGCACATCGATCGGACGCATGGTGCAATCATGCGAACGTGTCAGCTCGGCTACGCTGCCCATTGCGGGGCGCAAGATGGAAAGCATATACAACATGTGGTGGGTTCCGCGCATGAACTGGACGGTCTTCGTGATGTTGTCATGACTGAAGCACATATGATACCTGTCCAGCAAATCGATGGTCTCGACAAAGGGTGTAGCATCTACGTACACAAACATATGATTGGGGTCGCCGATGATGTAATCCCGGACTTCCGTCATGAAACGGTCCCAAATCACCAAGGCATGCGCAGCCCTTGCGGGCCGCGAAGTCCCTGGTCCAAGCCAGGTGCCGTTTGGAGTCAGCAAGAAGTTGTTCGGCGTCGCCGGTGGGGGTATCATAAGGATATGTACCCGTGGGCTCGAGGCCGTCCTTCCCAACGAGCTCGTTGCCATTCCAGTAAATCATCGGAATGATGGTGGCAGCTGGGTGGTCGGTACGCACCTCGTCGATGAGGGCGGCCAACCGCTTGCACAGCTGCTGTAAGCCCTTGCCCCAAAGCATTTCTGACCTCCATGCACCGACACGCGCCGGGCGAGAGGCATCCAAACGCTCCGCAAAGTCGTACTTGCGAAGCTTGCGCTTCTTGCCCGAAACCATGGACAGTCCTGAATCAGCGACAGTCACATAGATAAGGAGGTCGCGATCTGGTACACGTGGGGCCTGCAAGACCTTCAAGTACGGTTCGCTTATAGTTAACAGGGGTGTAAGCAATTGCAGGTAGTGCGGTTGGTCCTGCACCCATGTATGAATAAGCGACTGCGCAGAGGTCGTCTCGAGGAGGCCCTTGACCGTGGCGGCGAGGTTAGCGTCGTATTTGCCGTTCGTGCATACCGATGTGGTAGCGACATTCTCCATCCACCTCCTCCATGCCGGATCGCAATCCCTCGCGGGATGCGCCATAGCCGTCGCGCTGCTCATTGCGAAAAGGATGCAGCACAATCACTCGAAAGCAACGGCTGCATGGTGGCATGTTCGGAAAATGCATCGTGGACGGCATCAGTGTAAACGTACGTGTATCCCTCAGCTTCCTTCAAATACGTGCCACGGCTTTCGTCATGCTCGTGAGAACCATCACACTTGAAGTACTCAACAATGGAAATAGTGGGCATATTACTGGCAACGACCCATTGCTTTTTCATAGGTTTTCCATTTCTCCCTTTAATGCCGATTTTGCAACCATGGAATTCGTACTTGTTCATCTTGTACTTAGTCAAGAAACTCCATAGTTCGGGCCATTTCCAATAACGACACGCCTTGGGGAGTTCGAAGGCAACTCTAACGTCATCAGAGTAGACATCATTGAGAATGCGTTTGAACCCTCTCAACAGTGATCGGAATTGTTTGATGTGGCCCTCAATCTTGGCGGCACCTTTGGGAGTTTGCTGGTTGACATAACCCCACGGGCATCCTCCAGTGCATGGCAACGAGACATAGAACATTATTGCACCCTTAGGATTCTTGCTCCTGAATTCGGCAATTTCATGGACTAACCACTGCCTGCACGTATCAGAGCACCCGTCTTCGGTTTCAGTTACCCGAATGACACGACAACCCTTTGAAGAGTCTCTTGATTCGCCCAACCGTGAGGTCGTCGAACAACAGAATTCAATAAGGAGGCGCTTGGGCTGAACGTTGCGTAACGCAGCGATCTGCCCCCCCTGATCACTAACTTCTCCGGCCTTGGCGCATGGGGAGAGCAGCAAACTGGTGGCACAGGCTCGCGCCTGGCGATTGGGGGAGATACCGATCAGCTCAAGTGCATGGTGCCACACTGGGGTGCTGTCAAACGCCTTGGTCAAGATGTCTGCAGCTTGGAGGGTAGTGTCAACATTGATTAATTCGAACTGCCTATTCACGAATTGCTCCTGGAGCCATCTAAAGCTAATGCGTTGGGTCCTATCCGTGTGCCTTAGCTTCTGTGAGTGTCCCTGCTGCAGGATGGTGATCGTGGCCTGATTGTCTTCCATCAGTTTAACTTTCCACTTATCACTGAGATGCACAGTTAGGGCATTGATGTTCGCTACACTTGTGCCCGCATCAACATTTCCGTACCGAATTTCATCCAACTCGGGGTCGATGCGAGCGACAATGCCATCGGGCACATCA